CGTCGGGGAAAACCACCCCGACAGACAGTGCTGGCAGAGAGGGAACCGGCGGCGAAGACACAGGCGCCCGCTGAGCCCAGAGCCCGGCTCTTCGTGGGCGGCGGTGGGAACCTCCTGGGCCCGGCGCCCATTCAGGGACACTGTTTCTTTAGAAGTCGTTTGTTTCCCGGCTTGAAGCGGGGTCATGCCCCTTCCGACCGGACTCTTGGTGACCACCCTCTGGTCCGCAGCCATAAAAGGTTCCAGGCTTCCCCGGGGTTGGCTGATTCATCCCTTTCTCCTTGGGGCGGGAGCCTGGGGCTGGGTGAGGTGGCATCCTCCTCTCTTGGGGGCCCCTGAGGGCCCCTAGGGCCACAGCCCAAAGTGGCACTCTGGGTGCTTCTGCCCTGCAGCAGAGCTGGGGAGTGCGACCTGACCCGGGCTGGGAAGGGGCAGCGTCAAATATGCACTCCGGAGATCCTTGTCCGGGATTCCCCCTGGGGCTTGAGATATCCCAGTCCAGGGCAGGGGCCCCATCGGAAGGCTCTGGGAATCCCGGGTTTAGGGCCACACTTGCCTGAGACTCCCTCCGAGGGGCCAAGACAGGCGGGGAGGTGGGGGTGGGAGGGGCGGCCCGCGGGAGGTGCCCCAGAGGGGCTGAGGCAGGGTAGCTTCCAGAGGGGCCCTCCCCCGCCCCCGGATTTGTCCCGCCTCCTCCGTGCCGCCCTTTCGCGCTTCTGCGGACCTTAACTCCGCCACCCGCTGGCAGCTGAGGGCTGGTCTACCGCCGGCCTCCACGTGAGGACGGGGACCGGCGTGGACCTCGCTCCACACCCGCCCACCCCGCAGCAGGACAAAACAGCCGCGCAAGGAAAGCGCGCTGCCCCCACCTGCGGCTGCTTGTGTGTTTCGGCCACGTTATGAGTCGTCGCCGACAGGGAGGCCGGGGCTCCCCGGGCCTCTGAGGCGCTTAGGGGGAGCCCCTCCAGCAGTCTCGGGGAGCCTGGCGCTCTTCGCGCCGCGGCACAGGCAGGTCCAGAAGAGACCCGCCTTGTGGGCAAGCAGACCCGCTTCCTCCCCAGCGGGTCTGGGGCCCAGGTCGCCCCCTCTTGAGCAAACTCGCCATCGGGGCTCGGTCCCGCCGTGTGGCCCCCGAGGTCCCCAGCACAGATCCCTGAGTGGCCCAGGCCGAGCGAGCGGGGCCGCAGCCAGCGGAATCCGACGCCCCTGGTGGCCGGGAGGCTCAGCAGCCACTGGCCCTCCCCCGACCCCCCCACCCCCCGACCTGGACGCCGCGGAAACACCTCCCGAGACACATTTTCCAGGGAATTTTCGAGTGAGGGGGCGGGCGGAGTGTCGGGAAGCTCAGCCCCTTCCCGAAAGAGGGGACAGCCGGCCGGAGACAAGGCTGCTGCAGACTTCCTGATCCAACGAGATAGAGCCGACGACGGTCTGGGAGGCTGGCTCAACGTGACAAGTGACTGTCGGCCGACAGCGCGTCCTGCGCCCACCTGTGGGACCCTTCTCTAGAGCCAGTTGCCCCGCACGAGAGTCTCTCCACCCTGGACAATCGGCTCGGGGAACCGCCCAAAAACACAGCTGGAGAAGAAAGACCTTTCCCGGTTACCCCAAAAAAGAATTCATCTCTCCCAGCTTGTATAAACCCTGAGAGCTCCGGGTCGGGGAACAGCAGGCAGGGGTCGCCCCCACCTTGCCTATCCCCACCCACCTCCCAGACTTCTCAGGAAGTTCCAGGTTTGCGCCTCGACCTAGTCGGAGAGCAGTCGCTGCGGGTCGCGCCACTCTGCCGCGGGAGACGCCCCCACCCCAGCACCCCTGCAGGGGGAGGAGCCACTCGGGTCCCCTAGGCAGCGACAGCCACTGCCGCGGAGCCGCCGCCGCCGCGGTGCCGCGAGGTGCTGACGGCATGGTGGAACGGTGGCGTCAACGTGTGCGCTCTCAGACAGCAGACCTTCAGGCTTCCCCAGGCTCCTGGGAGAACACGCGGCCCGGGCGCGCTTTGGGGGGTTCGCTCCTGCATCTCGCCCCGCCCCGGCTCGCCGAGCCCCGGTGCAGTCCCCACACGGCACTCCGGGATGCGTGTCGGGCCGGCG